TTCACCTTTTGAAATGTTCTGCTTACAAAAAACACATTATGACACCATCTTACTGCTTTTCATCTATGTTATACTTACTCTTTCCATCAAGAATGGCATTTACTGGGTAGAACAGCAGCCTCCCTGGGTGATTTTGATGAGCTGCAGTCTACCTAGAAATAACTGAACACTTTGGAGAGTTCTTTGTAAGAACCAGATCTGTAGAAGTAGCATCTTTCAATCAGATGGCTGAAAAGAAAGAACAAATCTAACTTATAAAGCTTTTTTCGATATTGGTGCTATGTTCTGTTTAACTTTATTTCAGGAAAAGCAAGTAGGCATTCAAGTCAAACTGCTGGACTGAGGACACTGAGTTAGTTTGGAAATTAACTTAAATAGCATGCAGTAAAGTAGAAAACACTTAGTTTGAGTGTCCTTAACTTCCTATTCCTAAAATAAGGAGAACATTCTTTGACTTCATGAACCTCCTTGTCTTACTTTCATGCTTCTTACAGTATGAATCCTCCTCCTGCAAAAATAGCCCATTTTGACCACCACTAAATCTCAGCCAAGGCTTTCCGCTGCCTCCTCGCTTGTTGCATAGCCTGGGTTCTTGTTCCACAAAGATGCATTCTAATTTCTTCTTCCTGTTCTTGTTCTCTGAACTTTCCTAGCTGACCCTGTGCCTTGCTTTCCACATCTTTGTTTCATGTAAACCACATACCTGTATCCCACAGTCTTCATGTCCTCCTCAAAAGCACACAAGTAAAGTTATAATTCAGGAGTCACTCCCTTTCAGACAGTATGAAGGGAAATAGACAGTACCTTTTTTAAATAGTAATATGCAGAACCACGCAGACATGTGCTAAATATCACTAAACAGCACCTGTTCTCTCTCTAATTTCTCTCCCCTTCACCTTGGCAATCTGCTTCGCTCTTTGGGCTAGAACCTACTCTTCTTTTGGCAAGAATGTTCAGCAAACTCAAGGTTGCTATAGGAATTTATAATCATTTACGTTTTAGTGTACAGAAACTAGAAGGAAAGTGGAGGCACCAGGAGGAGGTGGTAGCAAAGAAGTCACAATTGGAGAAAGCAGCGCAAGAATGTATTTGGTGGCAGGAGGAGAATTATCACAGAAATCTGCAGCCCCAGAAGCAGCTACAGATAAAGGAACAAAAGTGAGTAGATAGCTCCTATAGAAAGGCTAATGCCTACTTGAGCTGGGGAGACGAGAAGGAAGGGAAGGGGAGACGAGAAGGAAGGGAAGGGGAGACGAGAAGGAAGGGAAGGGGAGACGAGAAGGAAGGGAAGGGGAGACGAGAAGGAAGGGAAGGGGAGACGAGAAGGAAGGGAAGGGGAGACAAAGCAATACCAGGGATAAGAAGATACACTGACACTACAGCTGAGCGGGAATAACTGTCTCCTGCTTGTTCTATTCATGTGACAGGCTTGTACCAGCCCACAAGAAGGTATTAGTGTAAGCCAACATTTTCTTCCCCAGCTCATTCCAAACTTTGCTCAAAGCCAACTCCTGGGGAAGTCCAATTGCCCATCCAAGCACCATATGCACTGTGGCAAGGTCAAAGAAACTGCCAGTGAACCAGCAGCAAGCTCACCAAGTGTGCAGGTTTCAAGTCAAAGCACCAGCTTTCGAAGCCAAGGAAGAATTGTCCTGTGTCTGCAGTCCACTTTATTAACACTGCAGGCAAGGAGCACCTTTGCACTTCCAACAAGCACTATCAACAGAAGCTACCAGACTAGAACACACTCAAGATACTCCTTGTCCGTGGGTGTTTTCTTATTTTCAACTGTTTGAAAAAGCTAGGCCTGAAAACCATACAAAAGAATAAGTAAATGTGTGGTGCCAGGAATGGGCCATTGCAATGAGCTCTTCCAGTTCCAGTCCAATTCAATGTTCCAACATGAGTCAAGAGGAACAACATTCCTCTTCGGGATAGGTGCTACTCTCAGTCATAAATTAATATCCCAGACTGCAACAATAGTCTGTGTAAACATGATCTTGATAGCAAGTAAAAGCATTCATGTTTTATTAGCCAGTAGAAATTAATTCAGAAAGACCTCGTAAGATGCCAGAAGACCTTCAGTTTATCCTCTGCTGCTTCATCTCAGGTTTTTTGGTCCATTTTTCCAGAGAGCAATGGAACTGTCAGTTCACAAAACGTATGAAGACCTCAATGCTGGCTTTTGGAGAAATCCTCCAAAGAAAGAAAGTGCAGTAAGCCTTCTACAGTTTCAGAAAAAGCTAGATTTCAGTTTCAACAATAAGACAACAGAGAAACTACAGCAAGATAACTTTTCTTCATTGGAAAGCAGGTTTATCTTATTTTCTGGTTCTCTAATATTATCTAACATAAGAAAGTATAACATCTGTAGACTCAATTTGTATTGAGTCTCCTGTAGAGAAAACAATTTCTGCAGTCTCTATATTGAAGCTGAACTTCATTAAATTGGAACTAGATGATCTTTAAGGTCCCTTCCAACCCAAACCAAATTAAGCATGCACTAAGTACTGGTTCTAAAAGCAAAACAAAACCAGTTTACGCTACTTCCAACTTGCACAGTTCCTACAGTTCTCTGTATGGTGTCTCAGAAGCTGATTTCATTTAAGAAAATTTACCTGAAAAGTAATGAAAGTGCATACAGAAGATGCACAAGTCAGCACAGATACTTTAGCATATTTAAAATAATTTCCACTTAAAGTAGGAAAAAATAAGTTAGTATACAGTTGTAGTGCTTCTAAAACAGTACATGGTTAGTAAAAATTTGTGACAAACTTCAAGTTCTAGCATTATCTGACATCCTAACTGAATCCAAGTTCTTCCAACATTTACACATTTTACTTCAAAAAATCTCATTTTGTAAAATTGATACATTTATAGTTACAATACAAATCCTTTAAACACATCAGCTTTAAGAAAATCTTTTGAGACTGTTTTGTAAAGTGCTTCTCAATACAGCTTTTATATGCCACCATAGTGAATATTAATTGTATTTTCACAATTAGAAATAAAGCAATTATTAGGTTTCACCTTCCATTGCATAACTGACTCAGTGAAGACTCTTTCATTCTCCCACCACAATTCTTTTTTTCAGACACTTAACAAAACCAGCCATCAACAGCTGAACTCAGCTCTAATGTGCAGGGAAGCACGTAAACAATGAAACCACAGGAAGAAAGAAAAAGATTTTCTCTGCTTTTCTCCAATATATGAAGGCCAATCTGGCCTCCAGTCATGTGCTTCAGAGATAAGAGTGGTTTACAAATGCTACTCCAGAGCATCTTTTCAGAAAGAAATGCTTTGAAAAGTATCAGTTCTTCCAGAGAAATGAAGAAAATTCAAGTCTGACTGCTCCTTGACTTCAAAATTCAGGTTTTATTTCAGTGTACAACTTGCAAGAATGAACTTCCTTTTGCTAGTGCATCCGTGTGGCATGCGTATCTTCTCATGTCACATGACGGTCTCAATACTTATCTTTGAGGCAGAGCACAGTTTTGCTGTTACTACAGTTCCATGAAGTACTGACATTGCTTTAGATCAGCAGCTCAGTCGAGGCATTAGCTCTTTAAGGCATCACGAGTCTGAGAAAGAGGTCAAATCAGTTTGTCGCTGATAGTATATCCGCTCTATAAAGAGATGTATTTTAGGACAAGATTACACAATAGAAAAATCTTTGCCTTGAGCTTCATCCTACTGAAGCTGCATTCTGCAGAAAACCCTCCTCCATAGTCTCAAGAGAACTAAATGCAGTGCTTCAACTAAAAAGCTGATCTAAATGAGTATATATGAGATTTGGAAGAAGAAAGTGAGCAGTAAGAAGCAAAGGAAGTTGGTGCAGCAACTGCAGTACTAGCATCAAAATCAGAGGGGTCTGGATTCTGTTCCCAGCTCCACTTTCAGTTTCCAGAGTGACCCCAGTAAACTGCCATCCCCTGCACCTCAGCTCCTAATTTGCAGGAGAGGGCTAATGGGAATTTGTCACCTAACAAGAGCATTAAATTTAAATTAGAAAAAGATCTGATAATAATCACAAGGCTGTTCTATTTCTGGTATTCTGAAGCAGATATATTTAGTATTCTAAAAAAGCAACTGGAGATAAGAGCAAAGAAGCCATGTTGTTCAACATCACAACAGCAATCCCTCTGGCCCCTAAGAATTGTATTACATTGAATACCTCAAGAAAACCCCATATTCTGATGTTTTGTAGACAAAAATTTTAATCTTTAAAAAACTGCTCAGTGCAACTATGTGTACAAAAATATTACTAAATCAGAAACAGAACACAAACCAGAAGCATGAAAGAAAATGCATTTCTAGCTTTACAACAAGTGTCATAAGAACTAATCATTCAACATCTGCAATTTCCTCTAAGCATGCCAACACTAAAATGTGTCTTTAAACCAAGGTGGCATTCATAGTGAACTTGATTTACCAAACCAAAGCAAAAATAAGTCCTATTTACCTGCAGAAAGGCTGAAGCAGGGACAGTGCAGAAACTTCTCCACACTACCCTACCCATAGCCTCCCATCTGAGCTTTCATATTCAGTTACATGTTTTCAAGCTGACCATTTAGAACCTGCAACTGGCTAGAAAGTGAAGTGGGTCATCACGATGATGCTGGTGAATTATCAGGATACTCCCACATCAACCATCATAGAGAGATTATCTAATGGTACCACAATCATATGAAATGTAGTAATTAAAAACCATCTTCACACTTCATACAAGTCACATTTTCAGTTTACCTTTTGTGCATGAAATGAAGCTGTATGTAACTGTATGTGAACATAAGAGAATGAGAAAAGAAACAGCTAGCAGTCTCAAATAGTTATCTGCAGACCAAGCAGATCAAGTATTTCACTAGGGCAAGTAGAAAAAGGTATTTTTTTTTTAATGAGGTATATTTACAGAGCACATTTTTTTTCTGGCTTCAATGTATAATTACTGGAAAAGCATGCCCTAATTATAACTTACGTTTTTTCTCATTTCTAAACATTCGAAAAGAAAATGCAAGTTGTTTATAAAATTGTTTTTCTTGTTTATTTTAAATGAAGCTGGTACAGACAATGTCCATTCAAAACCCACGTCCCAGGCCAAAGGTACAAACAAGAGTGTCAAAGTAACACCAGTTGTCTGCTGTGAACATTCTTGCGTGAATACCTGCATGTACTAATTGCTATATGAAGTTAAAATGCTGCTGGGCTCTTCTGGCAAGATTTAAGAATCGTTAGGGTTTTCAATTTTATGTCTTCAGCAAAGCCATCTCTGGAGCAAGGTACAGATGACAACAGTTCTAGCTTCTCCGTTTCCGACTTGGTAATCTTCTTTGTTGGGCCATCAATGCACAATTTAAGCAAAATAGCTCTGAGTTATGGATACACAATTTCTCCACAGTTTAGTTCTCTGGAAAACTTCATCTCGCACTGAAAGTTATAGTCCAGGAGTGAAACAGTCACACATCAAAACTTCAGGGCAGATATGGAAGTCATTAAGAACACTCGCCCACCTGGCAGATCTTACAGCCTTCGTGCCTCAAATGCACGAGCCTAGTGAACATACAAATGCATGTGTGTATGTGTATTTCTAACGGGGAGGGCAGAAGGGAAGAGGGGAGCAAGGCTGCAGCTGGATCACAAAAGTTCAGCACAATGAAAACAGAAACAATAGTGTATAATGAGCACGAGAATTCAAAATACCAGACGCTTGAAAATAAAACTCCCAGAGATGGGGTGCCAGTTTCAATTCAGTGTTGAACACCACATTACAAAAGAACTATTATTTAAAAATAAAAAAGGATTAAGGGGAAAGAAAACAAACAGAAGTATCTAAACTGTTGAGTGACCCCCCGTCTGTTCCTGATAAACTTCAATCACATCTTCCTCCTCCATCCCCAGCTGTGAGAACAGAGAAAAACAGCATATAATTGTTATAAGTCTGGTGTACTGAATTCAGAGCAGGTCCTAAAGTTGACACAAAGGTTTGTTCCTCTGTACCATCATAATTCATCAAACATCTTCTCAGTGAAGTCTAAATCCACTTGTGGAACAGTACACATCAGCTTGGAAGTTGCTAGCTTTACCTTTCTCTCTCTAACTGCACAACAGCTACACATGAACATAATCAACGTAATAGTGCATGCACCATCTCTACAGCCATGTAAGTTATATACAGCACACTACTAGCTCACAATACAGCTAAGACCTACAAGCTTGCAACTCAAAGCCTCTTTACAAAGGGTAACTTGTTCAATTCCACAGTACACTAGTTTGACTTTTCAGAAGGTTATAATAATAACAACTGTTTCTTCCTGCTTTGTCATAACAATTGGTGGAAGTCACTGGACAGAAGTAACATTTTCTGTTTATTTACACTTTCATCTAATAAACGTAAACTAAATACATATTTATTCCAAAGTCACACTGAAGTTCTGGTTCAACAACTGGGGAGTTCCCCATAGTTATTTGTTGGTGTTTTTTTTAAATCCCTGGGTAAGCAGGGACTACACCCTCCCTTCTGAAACGTTACCCACAAATGTCCAATTGGTCTTTCTGAACTGCATATCAGCCTTAAAGACTCTAGTTAGTCAGATTGCATTTGACTAAATTCGTCCAAAAAGTAGGCTACATTTAAAGAAACGCCTTCACTTTGTTTAACAGCCTAGCAGAACAGAGAAACTAATCAATTTGGGTTTTAGTTTCTCCAGTGAACTATGTAACACTTTCTGTAGAAAGAAACTCACCTCCTTGGGGGTATGATTATCAGTAATTCTCTGACCCTCGAAGAGGAACCTGAGTGAATTCATTGGAACACCCTAAAAAAAGAAACCAATGTACAAGAGAAAAAACCTTATTGCAACTTGTATGGACTTACAAGAAAAGCATTTTTAATAAAAACAACACATGTTAAAGTCAAAAGCAAAAGCATTATTTCCTGTTACACAGGGAGCTCAGCTATTCTGCTGTAACCATGTAGACTACAAAGTAGTGACTCAAGAAGCATGACAGTGCTCAAATGCAGGTTTATTCCAAAGTCCAATTGGAGTTCTAGCTCAACAACTTTAAAGTTTCCCTAGCTTTTTTTCTTCTTGCCTTGTTTAATTTTTAAAGTACTGACTATACCCTCCCTTCCAAGACAACATTACACATAAAGATCCTGTCTTTTCTGAACTGCATATCAACTTTGTTACAGATGTGAAGACAACAGGAGGAACATGTTTACTTCATGAACTCCTGCCCTTGCTTTCCCAATCTTACATCACTATAGGAAGGAATAGCAACCTTTACCATTATCAGCTCTGTGAAAACTCTACACTGGGAACAAGAAAGAGCAGAGCTGAGGGAGAAAAAAAGGAACACCGTTCAAAGTGGAAGAAAGGAGCATCCCAATGCTGAACAAAGTTAAGTTGCAGTATGTCTACTGTACAGCGTGCCTATGTTATGGCAGAATATCATGCTTCACTTTAACAGATGAGGCAAACACTGCATCTTTTTCTTCTTTCAAGTTACGAGCAAAACAAACGCAAGTGAGATATGACCTGTTTTGTCCATCACTTAGACCTCAAAAATATTGTTTGCAAATAACTAGGCAGAAAAATTCACAGGAAAGAACTCCTCTTCACACTGTTCCAAAAAACCCTCTGGCCAACTTGGAGGAATGTTCACGGTCTCTTTACTAGAGAAAGACTACTTGACACCGAAAAAATATTTTGACTGCTCATGAAAGAAATCACAGGCTCTCCAGAATTCAGCCCAAGAGATATATCTGTGTTCATTTAAACAATTATTTCTTTCTTTAAAAAAGAACTCTGAACACATGCATTTTCATCAGTCAATAAGACTGCTGCACAGATTATTTCCAAGATCTTATTTTAAAATGCAATTATTTCAAATGAACCAGAAGTTTAATAATTTAGATTTGGCTACAAACATATCTGGTGTTTGATCTTTCCTTTCCTCCGACTACAGAAGGACAACAAAAAAACCCCCACATTGTACAAAAGGACACTTCAACCGACAAGTTCAACTTGTCTCAACGTATTTATAAAAAACTTAAGTATTATTTCTTATTATTATATCTCCTGAAGTGAACTGCAACAGAGTTACTCAAGAAAAGGCCACACAAGGCATCTATCCCCAAAGCTGGGGGTAAACTAGGCCAGGGCTTCTGGAAATAGCAGCAGTGAATCCACAATATCTGCTACAGAATCTGGAAGTGCAGATAAATTTTGTTCTGAAACAGTAGTTACTATTTAGCAACATCCACAATTTATGCTGCAGTTTTTCTTAAATTAGGCCGTAACAGCCAGTGTTATTCGATTACCATATTAATGGTTGCAACAATGCCTAAGGCTGCTCTCATCCTGAACTGCAGTATTCTACAGCCTTAAGGGAATTTTTCTTGGAGACAGAAGATTTTACAGGAACTACAAACATATACCTGGGCAATTTAAAACAGTACTTCTATGTCTTCTGAGCAGATACTCTATATTTTCAAACAGCAATTTTAACTTGCTACAAAATTCACAACTGCCTTAAATAGAAATACCTTTAACTTGTCAAAAGAAATTAGGAGATCCATTATATTTGTACTGTCAGATACCTGTCCTGCTGGTAACTAAACAGTTTCAACAAATGTCTTTATTTGAAAGAACAGTGGGAAATGTAATGCTAAAGCGTTTGGCTTTTATATTTTCTTTCTAAAGAGAGAGTGTCATTGTTTCACAAACCTGTCTTTGACAGTATGATTCTTTGAGTTTCTTGAGGTGTGTTGTCATTTTCACCTTGAAGTGAATTTCACTGCTGTCCTAAGAACAGAAAAGAAAAACGTTACACTATCTGTAGTAACTGCTTACTTTATCTATGCTAATTTTGTGACTTGCATTAAAAAACCTTATGTAAAGCTAACATGGAATGCACTTTAACTATCACTGTGCATAACTTGGTTTTATCAGTCACTAAATTCATCATGTACTTCCACAGGAAGATCTATTTTAAAACAGATGGCATAGTATAGCCTTAGGCTCACTATGGAGGTTTTGGATTTAAAAGCACTAAAAGCCATAAATGATTCGGTCTGTGCTTCCATCTTCACCCAGCTGATGTACTTATGGAATACAAACATACATATGCAGGGAGACTTCTGCTCTAATATTCCAAGAGAGACAAGTTAAAACTCACACTTCAAAATATATACGAAACCTCATTCAATTAGAGTAATTACCTAGAAGTTAGGATAGAGGCAGACTTGGCAACACAACACTAACCTAAGGAGAAACCTTAGGTCTTATTATTCCACAGTCCTTCCTACCAGCTATAAGACACAAGTAACCACAACTGGCAAAATGGCTACAGATAAAACAGACTGCAAGAGGTTCTGTGAGAAAAGCACATGGGTCACATTTAGATTTTGAATGTGTTCTCATCATTGCAGATTACACCAGCAAGAGGCAAGCTAGTTTGTGTTAAGTCCTACTTGAAGTCATCCATCTCCAGTCAACACCACAGCAATTGCACTAATACTTCTACAAACAATACTGAGTTAAATCATATGAGCACAGGACTTCTGTTCAAGAAGGATCTCAGCATTCACATTCCAACACAACTGGAATTATAGTATACCATTCACATCTACCAACAGGCCAGCCAGGAGAATCTTCTTCCTACCCCGTATAAGAAGGTTGACCTCACACTTAATGCACTACATGAACTCCAATAACCTGAATTTATAGATTTTGCCACATGTTGCATTCATATCTTTGGATAAATTAATCTCAGTGCATCAGGTTCCCTAGTTGTAAGATGGGGAATCACACTGACCAAATCCTGAGTCATAAGGATGAATTACTCAAGCTTTAAAAAAAGCCCAGCAACCACACAAATAAAAAGCCAACAAGCCACACACCAAAGTTACTAACACACATTACTGGAAATTGGTAAGTAGTTTATGGCAAGGGAGGATCCACACAGAAGAACTGAAAGTATCAACTTTCATTTATTCATTTCTACAATACAAACATTCATACTTCCATCAAACGTCAACAAGTAATGATGTAAAAACTCACCTGCCCAATGACTTTGAGTTTAATGTATTCCCCTTCTTTCTTATCTCCTAAGTCCTCAGCTGAAGGTTTTGCTTCCTGCAAGAAAAGCATTAAAAAAACCATCTGATCAGTTCAACACTCAACAGTATGACATCTGTCACCCTCCTTATTATTGCTCAGACCAAATACCTTATTTCTTCCTTTCTGCGTGTAAAAATAACAGCAACATGGTATTACAAAAGGCTGTCTGTCTGCCAGTGAAAAGTTTAACTACTGACAGAAGGGAAACACTGTGAAGAACATAAGATATGAGAAAAAGAAACAGATGACATGCAAAAATGAGAAGTATGATTTTATACCACTAACTCCTAGTTAACAAACAGACTGCAAAAAATAAATACAAGAAGTACTGACATTCATATTTGACAGAAGAACATAATGAGGAGAGTAAGCAGAAAGCACAAGTGACACCCTACCAGTGTAAAGGGTAAACCATGCAAGCATTTTACATTAATAGCTACTTTCAAAAGGACACCCACCTTCTTTTGTGACAATAAAACAACTTCAAGTAACAGCTTCCTTCTAGCATGTTAGTTTTAAGACCACAATTCTCAAAAGTTCTTAGAAGTTGCAGTTCTAAGAATTACAGTGTTTTGATATCTTTCCAGGATAAGAATTAATTGTACAGACAAGTTTGATTCAACAACTTGAGCACTGAAGCTCATCAAAAGGGTTTAAGTGTTATGTTCTATAAGGCATGAATTAAGGACATAAAAGTTTTCATGTAAGCTGCTGATAGACAAGTGAAAGATCAGGTACTATTAAGCCCACCCCTCGCCTGTCACTACTTATTCTGGATCAGGCCTTCTGTTATGTTCCACTGCAGCACAAAGGGATTTTACACAGACACTGCCTTGGGTCCAGAGAGTGCTTGATGAAGAAATCTTCCCAAAAAGTCAGAAACAAGGATACCCTACTGATCATGCTTCAAAACTTCTTTTCCTATTTTACTGCTTAACATAGTAAACAAAATACATACAGGTGCCTACTACATATATTTTTCCCAGCCCTAAAGGGACTTTTTGCTAAGTATACAGAAATATCCTTTGCAGGGTTGGACTTGAACTTTAGGATAAAGCGCCAAAGCACATACTAACCTTCCGTATTAAGCCCATTCAGAGAGTTCTCTACCTCCAGATTAAAATGGCAGACAAGCCTTTGCAAGCATTTTTTTCCTTAAAGAGGTTAACATGTACAACTTACGTGAATGTTAAAAGTTCAGAGAAGGGAAAGGGGGGAAAGTCAGCAAACACCTTCCCTATCTGTACCAGTCTCAGCCTGGAGGAAAGAGAGAGAGGAAGTGCTCTTTGTATCAGTTTCACTCACTGCCTCAAACCAGACCCATTCAGTTTCTGTGATGACAAAAAAGGATGAGCTCTAGACTCCACCTGGTTTGAATACTTCTTTTAAAAAGGATACCCACCTGGGCACAACCTGGACTCATTCATCATCCTTCAAAGCTCAAACCCAAAAACTGACCCCAAGCTTTGAAGAAACAAGACGTGTACCCTCAGGTCTCCAACCAAGTCACCTCTGAAATGCCAAACGGAGCATTCACTGGCAACACAGCCACAGCAACTGTGCTCCCCACCACAGTTTTCCCTTTCTAACATATCTGAACTCTAGCATCATGAAACTATTTGCAGGAATGAAAATGCAATGGTTACCACTCCTGACTGAAGAGAAAGAAAAACAAGAATGTGAAACCTGTTCTGATAACTTGCACAAACAGCATTTTTATTGTCCGTTTGCAGGTTTATTAACCTCTAGGAATCAGAAAGAGATCTGGACATCTACAGATCTGAAGTCTGTAACTTCAAAACTATCTCTGTTCTGCTATCACTGGAAGATTTTGTAAGGACATCCTGTCCCTTCACATGACAATTCAGGTCAGTCACTTAGTTTGCTTTGAATAAGAACCAAATTGTACAGCAGCATATGACTGCAGGCATTTATAGTAGCTTATACAGTTCTGTGCACTGTAACAGATCTACCAACTTAGCTTTCCAAAACAAATGACCCTCTACAAGGTATGACAGATCGCCATTGCTACTGCGACACCACCTCTGGCCAACATGAGTGGAAAGCAATGATTCATAAGAATCAGGGAAAGGGGGCTCTAGTACTAAAAACAAATAGGGGAAGCAGCAAAGAGTAGAAAAAGCAGAGGAACTGGAGTCTTGAAACACATGCTTCTTTAAAGCCTCAGCAACCTCTCATCCACAAAATAAGAGCAAACAGAACTGTAATTTCAGAAAAAGTGAAATAAGATCAAATCAATGTTGACAACACCAATAACTGAAGCTTAAAAAGAGCAAACTATTTGAAATCAGAATGCAGCAAGACCACCCAGCAAGTCTGAAACAGCTCCCTGCATTTTATCAGCTAACTATACTGCCATTCAATGCCAAACGGTAAAGCCAACACAAAAACACTTAAAAACAACGAAAGCAAGGAGATTGCAGAGTTACTAAACTGCAAGCATTCACTACCAAAATCCTGGATCAGCAATCTGCAAGCCAGCCTCCAAACCTTCACCTGCCCTGTGAAAAGGGCTGGTGTTTAGGGCATCTCATGAAACACTACACTAAAAAAAAGACCATATAAACAGAACAGGAATACCACAACACTCCAAACTGTAACTTTTCATTAGATGTCTACAATTTTAAAGGCTTCCACAATTCTGCTAAATAGCACAAAACGAGGCTCCTAACACTGTCTCACATTCATATATCAACACTAAATTCATGACCATTAAGCACCCAAAGTTTCTTGGATTAAATACACCGGTATTGCTATTGCAACTAATGAAACCACAAAACAAACATCATACGGCAGGACATCGCAAGTTTCCTGCTCCAGTTTTCTGAAGTGCTCAAACTTCAACGTCCAAGCGTAAACTAACTCCTATACTGAGCACACTTCAGAAAATAACTAAAAAAAACAACAACCAAAATTATTAGAGGAATGGGATTACAATGCACTTTCTAACACACCAAAAGCTCTTACATTTGTTACAGTAATGGGAAAATGCACACAAACGATGGCATTCTTTATTAGTAGTACATGAACTATGAATGCAAGTGTCCAGTTTCAGTTAAAGCAAAAACAGCCCAAGACCCTTGAAGGGAGGGGTGGAAAAAATATTCTTTTTTATTCTGCTTAGGTCCCACCAAGCAGCCATGTGGTTTTTTTGAAGTTAACCCTTCTTGCAAGTATCTTTACTTATAAAAGTTAATTTCCTATTGGAAATAATGTAACTAAATCAAGTATGCTTCTTTAACTATACTAAAAAAGCAAGCTAAAATTATCATAACTGTTCATAAATTACATCCTCTTAACTTAATCCCAGGGCCAAAAAGGAAGACACTGTAAGCAATCCACAATTTTGGGTAATCCAATTGTCCCTGTATTATTGATAAACAGAGGAATGAGACTTACAGTGTTGCATTATCATACATTATACTGTTACTTAAGCATTTATTTAGCTCTTGCTGCACAATCACTCCAAAAGTGAATGACAACATATAACAATTTTAATAGCATCTATTAAAAAAAATCAGGGTCCTTATTCAAAGAGCTTTAAGATATGTATCCAAAAAGGGTTGTCATATACAATGTATTTTACATCCTTCAAGCAGTCCCAAAGAACAAATATGTATGTGGTTTTAAGTAAAACTTGCCTGGAGAAGGAATTACCTAATGAAAGCTGCTATGTGTTAAAACATGCCTTAGTTCACAAATGCAGAGAGCTACACAGCAGGTCACATGAAGATCAGTCTACAAACTCTGGTTCAGAATTTGCCTTTTCTTTATGCGGACACTTTCACACACTTTACTACACTGGAAGCATGTCCTGAGGGGTGTCTGCAATAGCTGTGCTCCCAGCAGCCCCCTCACAGGCAGAGCCAGGCAGCAGCACGCACTGCCTTGTTGTGTGGGCAGAGCTGCCTTGTGCTTGGGAGTCGGGGTTGGGGAGGAAGACCACCAGGCATACAGCAATGGCTCCTACTCACGGGTCATAAGGTATTACGACTATTCCTCTAAGCAGACACGGCATATACTAAGCTTTAGCTTCATCTCTGGCTACTTTTAATTTCCCAGCTGGCACTAGTACTATTCTTGACTTCACAGCACTGCAAGAAACATTTGTATGTACTGACATTGATTTTTTCCAAAGTTGAATCATCGTGACTAAGTTAGAAAACATTGCCATATGAAGGCAATACAAAAGAATAAAGCAAAACAGAACACAAAAATTTAAACGGGAACGCTGTTTTAACTTTCCATCAGCAGGCCACATAGCCTAAAGCAATAGTTGTAAACATAGGACTGTACACATGCCACGCCAGGGGAGTCAGGAATCTGTGGTACAAGTAACTAATTAAAGTCCCCGGCTGAGAAGTCAGATGTACAAACATAACGATGTACATAGAGGCAGGACAGAGTCCTGGTGAAGGACGAGATGTTTAACACGGGCCAGCAACGCTCAGCTAGGAAAGCCTGGGGTTTCCCCCCCATCTTCTGCATTCCTAAGGCAAACAGAGGACCTAACAAGTCAAGCCTGACCCGCACAAAGCCTGCTCCGAGGGAAGAGCATCCTACCTAGATGTGTACGTAGGAAATGGAAAATGAAAGGGAACAACTGTTGTGTAACAAGGCTCACCCCTCGCTGTACTCCCGGGTTTCCAGGGCCGGGGCTGCCCCGGCGGCAATCCCGGGCCAGGGCCCTCTGGAGCCGTCCCTCGAGTATCCCCCGGCCGGAACCCGCC